TTCCCCGACCACCCCCCCCCCACCATCCCCACTACATTCTCTCACAGCTCTCTTCCACCATCCACACTACATTCTCTCACAGCTCTCTTCCATCATCCACACTACATTCTCTGACAGCTCTCTTCCACCATCCACAATACATTCTCTGACAGCTCTCCTCCCACCATCCACACTACATTCTCTCACAGCTCTCTTCCACCATCCACACTACATTCTCTCACAGCTCTCTTCCACCATCCACACTACATTCTCTCACAGCTCTCTTCCATCATCCACACTACATTCTCTGACAGCTCTCCCCCCACCATCCATACTACATTCTCTGACAGCTCCCCTCCCACCATCAACACCACATTCTCTGACATCTCTCCTCCCCCCATCCACACTACATTCTCTCACAGCTCTCTTCCATCATCCACACTACATTCTCTGACAGCTCTCCCCCCACCATCCATACTACATTCTCTGACAGCTCCCCTCCCACCATCAACACCACATTCTCTGACATCTCTCCTCCCCCCATCCACACTACATTCTCTCACAGCTCTCTTCCATCATCCACACTACATTCTCTGACAGCTCTCCCCCCACCATCCATACTACATTCTCTGACAGCTCCCCTCCCACCATCAACACCACATTCTCTGACATCTCTCCTCCCCCCATCCACACTACATTCTCTCACAGCTCTCTTCCATCATCCACACTACATTCTCTGACAGCTCTCCCCCCACCATCCATACTACATTCTCTGACAGCTCCCCTCCCACCATCAACACCACATTCTCTGACATCTCTCCTCCCCCCATCCACACTACATTCTCTCACAGCTCTCTTCCATCATCCACACTACATTCTCTGACAGCTCTCCTCCACCATCCACACTACATTCCCTGACACCTCTCCCCCCACCATCCACACTACATTCTCTGGCAGCTCTCCTCCACCATCCACACTACATTCTGATCCATTGGCTAAAGCCAATAAATCAAAATATCTGAATTGGAGGTGGGGGTCACAATACAAGATTTGTCATATCTCCAAGTTGCAGCCTACGGGAATTTCTTTAACCCCACAAATGATGGAATCCCTTCTAAACTCTTTTGCATCTAGCTGGGCATCCAAATCCTTGCCTTACCTAAGTGTCTCTGTAACTCCCTCTTACCACAATCTGTATCTGGAAAAATATATGTCGCTTTTTGCTCCTCTCTTCTTGGGAAGAATTTGGGAAACTTGTCTTAGTTTGCAGGGTTAAAATTTCTTGCCAAAATTTTGCCCGAGTCCTTCTGGTCTGCATTCTGTCAAACATTCTGCATCTGTCAAACATTCAAGGTGACCTTAGCCTCCCACTCTTTCACAATTACTATCATCATCAACTATTTAGACTTCTTTTCCCGCAGTCAGTGAGGACGCTCCACAGTATGTTTCTCGGTGGAAGATTTGCTGTAGTCTGAACATGAATAAGGACGCTCATGTGTGTGAATTTTATGGTGGTTAACAAGGGTTGCTTTCCGAGTGAAAGATTTCCCGCACTCTGAACATGAATAAGGACGCTCATCAGTGTGAATCCTCTGGTGTATAACAAGGGCTCCTTTATAAGTGAAAGATTTCCCGCACTCTGAACATGAATAAGGACGCTCACCAGTGTGAAATTTCTGATGTTTAACAAGGGCTCCTTTATAAATGAATGATTTCCCGCACTCCGAACATGAATAAGGATGCTCACCTGTGTGAATTCTCTGGTGTTCAACAAGGGCTCCTTTATAAGTGAAAGATTTCCCGCACTCTGAACATGAAAAAGGACGCTCACCAGTGTGTAATCTCTGATGTTTAACAAGGGCTCCTTTATGAATGAATGATTTCCCGCACTCCGAACATGAATAAGGACGCTCATCAGTGTGAATTCTCTGGTGTACAACAAGGTTTCCTTTCTGAATGAATGATTTCCCGCACTCCGAACATGAATAAGGACGCTCATCAGTGTGATTTCTCTGGTGTTTAACAAGGTCTCCTTTCTTAATGAATGATTTCCCGCACTCTGAACATGAATGAGGTCGCCCACCTCTGTGAATATTCTGGTGTTTAACAAGGTCTCTTTTGCGAATGAAACATCTCCCGCACTCTGAACATGAATAAGGACGCTCATCCATGTTCATACTTATGTGTCTATGAAGGTTTCACACATAAAATAAGAAGCCCCCTGTCCCCCACCATGTAAAGTAAAACAAGGAAGCCCCCTCACCTGCTTGTCTTTCTGCAGGGAGGAGAAGAGCAGGCAGATCCCTGGTGATTAGTGCGATTAGTAAGGTCTGCAGACATTACTAATCACTACGTTTTCGACCCGGAGCTCACTGAAGAGCTGGGGCCGAAAGGAAGGGAGACAGACCAGCAGAAGCAGCTGCTCCCACGAGTCAGGTACGCGATCTGCGACCGCAAGCCTGACAGTAATTTCCACTCGCCTGCACTGCATTTCCACTCGCCAAATGCGAGCAGGCGAGTGGAAATTTTGAGCCCTGGTGTACAGTATCTCCTCCTCATTTGCAGGTCACATGACGTTATATTGAGGAATGGAGATGGATCTTCATATGGTGTACAGTATCTCCTCCTCATTTGTTGGGGACATGACATTATATTGAGGAATGGAGATGGACCTTCATATGGTGTACAGTATCTCCTCCTCATTTGTTGGTCACATGATGTTATATTGAGGAAAGGAGATGGATCTTCATATGGTTTACAGTATCTCCTCCTCATTTGTTGGGGACAAATGTGGGGACTATAATAAAAAGGGGCACTTTAAAGGGGACAACTGATTATTAGCTACCTCTACATACTGTAATGTTAATATAGGGGATTAACCCCCTACATACTGTAATGTTAATATAGGGGATACTCTGATGGGGACAATTATTGTAAGGATGCGCCCTAATCGGGCCAACAATGTAAGGGGGAATTCTGCTGTGCCCATACAACTTCATGAAATGTCAAGGAACACATCTGGCACAGACTATATTGACGATGATCTCAGAACCATCATTCCTCCATGACAATGGACCCAACATCTGTATGTAGAACATTTGATGTGAGTTTATTTGCTGTAAATGACCCCCAACCATCCTAACACTAATCAGGAGATGACGACCCCTTCATCCTACAATAGGGGAGATGACTTCTTCTGGGGTATCTCCTTCCCAACTTTGATGGTCCACCATTTATAATTCAGTCTCATCTTATCTGATGATGAGAAGATCTGATAATTCTCCAACATGATCCCTTAAACGTAACACCTTCTACTCAGAAGTGACATAGAACTGTGACCTGTTCCCTCCATAGTGTCTGTTACTTACTTGTGTTGATCGGTAGAGAAATGTCATCCTGATCACTTTTCATCATCATCCGGACCTCCTCCGTGGGCGGCCGGTCACCCCCCACATACGTCTCCACTTCTTCCTCTTTAATCACAGCTTTTATATTGATCCGTTCTTCACCCTAATCCCCAAAATAATAGAAAACATGTCATAAAGCTGAACTCCGGGGGGGGTATAAAAGACACAAAGGAAGGCAGCTCTGTATTTGTTTTAGTTTTTTTTAATGCAAACATTGTTAGTACCTGAATGTGACCTGGTATCAGGTTCCTGCAGTCCCTGTACAGCAAAGCTTAGACTGGGAGAGAGAGAAACAGTCTGCTGCTTCTCATTTTACTGTCCAGTCAAAGAATGGGTGAGGGAGAAGACCTATATGTGTTACTGACCTACAGCAGATAAATAGCAGGTCTCCTGCTCTGCCCATTTGAGGGCAGGTCTCCTTCCTATTTCCTCTGAGCCCGGGAGCCAAGGACCCTCACCTTGAGGGCGCATCATCCCACCAGCATGGACTCATAGAAGCAAAGAACAGCACCACATATTTCAGCCCTTTGGAGGGCATAAGCAAGGAGCCTATCTATGATGTCACATGACTGGACCCAAGACCCATGGAAGAAAATGTTGTTTATACATTTTTTTAAAATAACAAAAGTGGAGGGTGGAGCAAGGGGAAGCTGAATTGGAGAGGGTGGAATGGGTGGGAGGCTACATTTCAGATGTAAACATTAAACCAACAGACTACATAGAAGAATGTTGTCTCACAAAGTTCACTATCACTTCTGTGTTCTATACACCGAGTCCCACATACCTGATCATGGTGGGGGATGGTGAGATCTTACTGTGTGGAATCCCGGGAATACAGAGGACGGGGACATCTCTCTGGTGAGTTTATGTCACTGAATGGCTCCATGATCATATCCTTGAAAGGGTCTTTGTGTCCTTCTGAAAACTCCTCCATCACACCAACCTTCTCCTCTTCTTTTATCTCTTCTTTAACATCATTATCACAATCACTCTGGTTTATACCCTGAATATTGAGAACAATGAGATCAGATGTAACTACATAGCCAATGATCAGGTGAAAAAGTATCTCCTATTATCTATTATTTCACCTTATGTGAGACGGTGAGATCTTCCTGTGTGGAATCCCGGGAATACAGAGGACGGGGACATCTCTCTGTTGGGTTCCTCTTACTGGATCCATCTGTAGGAAACACACACACTGACTGAATACATTGTTTCTATGTGTGTATCAGATGATGGGGGATCTAGGTGGGCCCTCCGTACTGCTCTCTCCTCTTACCCCGAGATGTGAGGGGCGGCTCATTCTCCATCATGATGTCCTTGTAGAGATCCTCGTGTTCCTCCATGAAGAAATAGACACCTTATAGGAACCTGACACACGCAATGATACAGTCACTATTCTGTAATCCTGTTTGAAGGGAGAAGATAACAAGGATTACGTGTTCAAGAGTCACGTGTTTGAAAAAAGACTTTCATTAGACAAATCCCGAATTGCTCAGAATATGAGACCTTGTGGGACAGTTCTGCAATTTTGGACACAATCCCACAGTATTCATGTCCCACATGATCCAGGACATTGTGAAGAGTGGGATTGACTGCAAAAGGGTTCTCTGCATTCTGCACTTATGCCGGCTCTGTCAGGTGAAATGATTTGCCCAACAGTGACGGCATAGTTCCATTCATTCAGATGACCACTGGACACCAAAGCTGAGGTTTAATATTTCTCTCATAGACAACAATGGGGCTTATTATTGCACCCGCTGACCAACAATGGAAGGAGCTACAAGTACTCATGAAAATGCCCGTATCGGCCCCGATACCGATACTAGTATTGGTATCTGGATATCTCTACTACAAACCATCGACTGTGAATGTACAGTTGGATAAATGGCTCCATATTTAGGATGTATCCAGTCTATAAATGGCTCTATATTTAGGATGTATCTGGTCTATAAATGGTGGCTCTGGATGGACAGTTGGATAAATGGCTCTATATTTAGGATGTATCCGGTCTATAAATGGTGGCTCTGGATGGACAGTTGGATAAATGGCTCTATATTTAGGATGTATCCGGTCTATAAATGGTGGCTCTGGATGGACAGTTGGATAAATGGCTCTATATTTAGGATGTATCCGGTCTATAAATGGTGGCTCTGGATGGACAGTTGGATAAATGGCTCTATATTTAGGATGTATCCGGTCTATAAATGGTGGCTCTGGATGGACAGTTGGATAAATGGCTCTATATTTAGGATGTATCCGGTCTATAAATAGCAGCTCTGGATGGACAGTTGGATAAATGGTTCTATAGTTATGTGCATGTATGCTATAAATCATAACAGGCCTCACAGTGAACTTGGAGGCAGGTGATGGATATGGAAATGTTTACCGGTTGTAAATATAAAATATTATCTTATTACCTCCTCTGCAGCTGGTTTAAGCAATGTCTCCTCTTTACCTCCTCCCAAATCACTTCCAACCTCACTCTTACATCACTTCCTGTCTGTACTTTACATCACTTCTTGTCTGTAATTTACATCACTTTCTGTAGGTGTCTTCCAAGTGAGATCACCACCTTTTGTTGAATATAAATACTTCAGTCTCCGTTATGTTTCATCATTGTGCTCGCTGCCTTGTGGTCTATTTCTCTGTTACGTTACCTCCATGACTACACACAGATTATACCTCACATCAAATCCAGACAATAACGAAATAAAATGAAAAAATACAATGTGATTTATTTTTATTAATTAAAAGTGAAACTAAATAAGAAACTGTTTTAGAAAACAAACTAAAACTTGAAATACCACCTAGTGGGCTTATTTTACAAAGCTTCAATACAAGCATAAGGAGTTTTATTTTAGTCATGTGACTTTCATTTTCTGATCTCATTGAACTTCAATTAAAATTACAATAAGTTATTAAAAGTGAATAAAGATCCATATCCTGGTGTGTGTTAGGTTTTTGGGTTGAGCCCATTGTAATGATATATAGGTGTCATCTAGGGTGACCCTTCTCCGTTGGGTCTCCATTCAGGTACGTGATACTAGGATTTTGGAGCAATTGTCCCATTTTCCGCAGCCATTGCCTCCAGCGGGGGGATTTCTCGCCCTTTGACAGTGTTCGAGGTTAGCTGTTGTCAAACTTAGACATGCTGTATGGTGTACCACTTACTAAACTCCCCATCTGTTGGCCTCTCTCTCTCTCTCTCTCGTACATTACCCAATGGGAAGAAGACTTCAGTTTACATCGGATGCTATAGACAGGATCATGTTCTTCACTCAGAAGACCTCTGTTAGCACAATATACCAGGAATCAGGCTTTAATCTTCAGACTCGATAGTATAGGACACCTCAGGTATTCTCGAATGTTCCCGAATAAATGTTGGCGTTGTGGCCAGGAAAAAGGGAATCTGCTACACAGTTTCTTGACCTGCAAAGACCTCGGATATTTCTGGTCAGAAGTTATGTGCATTTTTCTGACATTTACTGATTTTCTGATTCCCAAAGAACCGTTTTTTGTTTTGTTTTAATACATCACAAAATTCTATACCGAGACGTGTCTACAGAAATATCGATACTACAATGTCTTGTTGATGCAGCGAGAAGTTGTATACCTGAATGGTGGAGGCAGACATGTCCCCCCATGCTAATGTGCATTAACATGGTCAATGAGATTGAATGAATGGGGGGATCCAATGGGGGGATCCAGGTTTGTTCTCAAGAGGATCGCATGATAAATGCACTGGTCTACAAATTTTGGGAAATGATCGACCTCCGAGATAAAATCTGTGACTTCTTACATATTTTGATGAGATGAATCAGAATCAAGGTGCTGATGGTTGGCTAAAGTTTTCCAGATAAAGATTTATACAGAGATGGGCATATTTGTCTACAAGGGAGGGAGGTGTCTGATGATCATGATGCCTCGTAACCTCTCCACAAAGTACGGTAGAACAATGAAAAATGGTACCACATGGAAGTGTATAAATTTATCTTCACTTTGAGACTAAAGATTATCACCCAACTGTCATTTATTGTTCTTTTATTGCAAGGTACATTTGTCTTGGTCAGATCTACGCGTCATACAGTTACATCTGGTGGCCTGTAAAAGTGTCATGGACTAACATTTCCAAGGAACAGTTGCGTGATATTTTCCCTCAGAAGCCAAGATGCCTTGAAACCGTGTAAACGACGCATCTAACTTCTACTACATTTGTGGCGAGGTTCCATTTGCATCTCAAAAGTGCAGCATGACGGCAGTGGTAAAAAAGGCATACCACCTATATTTTGGATGCAAAATAGGGGATCAGGACAAGAGTCGGGCCCCTCGTTATAGTTGTATTACTTATCTGTGTCATTGGCTAAACAAGAAGAAGTCCATGCCTTTCACAGTCCCAATGGTGCGGAGGGAACCCACCAATCATAGTAGCGACTGCTATTGCTGCATGGTTCCCCAAATGCAAAAGGGATCTCAAGAAAGAAGAAGAGGACCGTGGAATATCCAAACATTCCATCTGCACTGCGTCCTGTACCCCATGGTGAGGACTTGCCTGTTCCAGATCCACCAGAATCCTACTCTCTAGACTCAGATGATGATAAAGACGATGAGCAGGATGCAGCTGATCCGGGGCCGTCGATGTCAGCGGAACTCAAACAGTAGCCCACCGTAGGCTCCTCCTGAACCACATCTCATTTCACAGAGTGGCCTGGTCAGGGATTTGATCCTGCCTAAGAGTAATCTGGGCTCCAGATTACAACAGTGGAACCTCTTGCAGAGTGGTATCATGAAAAACTAATACATGGATGGAAAGTTATGTTATTGGTATCCATAAAAAGATACATTTATAATGATGGGTGTGACTTCTTTCTCATTAAGTGTGGGCCGGTGTGCTGCACTTGGTTTTGCGTGTTCCACCTATTAAATTATGTGTAAAAATGTGAAATATCACAAACTGAATACGAACACGTGAGTGCCAGTGATCAAATCCTTATTACAACTGTACACTTAAATACATATCAATAAGGGGAATAACATAAGTTCGTGCCTAATTAGGTATTGATTAAATATGGTGATATGTGATTATAAATATAAATAAATAAAATAAAAAATGTGTAAAATAAAAAATGTGTATTTTCGTGTGAATAAAATATTTGTGAGAAATGTGGTGTAAAATCTAGTTTAAACAAGTGGACCAATAAATATTGTAAACCAGCCGAAGGCTACAAGCCAGTGTACTAAAAAATCCTTCATTCTCATTAATACTAGGGCTGGTAATGATTAAAAATTTCCTGTTCGATTAATCAAAATTTTTTTTAATCGATTAATTTCGATTAATTCTAACGCACATACAGATCCAACTACATTGGCCTATACACATAAAGCACAGCAATGAAGTAATAATTCTATGACAAATATGTGTCCTGGAACAAGCACTACTTCCCTCCAATCCAGCTAAAGTAAGAGTTTTGCTTCCTGACAGGCCTTTTAAACACAAGTTTCAGTTTGTATAGGAACAGTGTGTAAAGAAACCATTAACAGAGCATTTGCAAAGCTTTCAGCAAGCTTTGGGCAGCTTTGTAGAAGCTTACTGAAAGCAACCCTCAGCAGGCTTTAGAAAGCTTCAGGGTCCATGCACACAAGTGCACATTACTGTAATAATGCACTTTTCAAGCTGCAGGAATGATTCTTTTTTAGAAAATTAACCTTTGTTCTGAGTTGTGCAGCCTTAAAATGTATGTGAAAGTTGTAAACAACACACAAAGACACTAGGAACTATTAAACACACTCAGCTCCACTTTCAATAAAAAATAAATAAATGATATATAGACGGATACCTTTTCTTAAGGTGTTTTTCGCTGTGGTCACAATACCTTTCCCACAGCAGTGCCTGCATGAAACACCCGGCAGATTCCATCAACACCTTCTGCCAACATTATACAAAGAACTCTGCAGACCGCGTGCCTCCTACCACCTGCCAACTGTGGAGGGGTGGACAGGGACGTAGCAGCTGAATCTGACTGTAGAACCACAGGCACATCCTGCATTGGTACAGCATCCAGTAGATCCCAAATCAAGAGAAGTAATGCAAACTGACCACACTAGGATGGATCTGCTTCCGTGCCTAGCGTGGTAAGTCTGAAATAGAAACCATGGGGAACTAGCGGGATCAATAGGTATTTAGCAAAAACATAGGCAATAAAAAAACAAAAACGTTTCAGGCTACATTTAGTAGGAAGTAAATGTATAACACAACACCTATATGGAATATTATATTTTGGGGTAACAAACACTTTAAGTACACTAAGGAGTAAACCGACTTGGACATTTCTACTTACTTTCAAAAGTCAACAGCTAAGGCCTCATATCCACCTCAAACCATTTCCCTGGTCGCTGAAGCGTGACGTCACCGGACTCCTCCCCCTTCCCTTCGTTAGCCGACAGAGCCACTTGGGGAAGGAGTCCGGTGACGTCGATGTCCGTGACGTCACCGGATCTCCGACGGAAGACCGGAGAGGTGAGTACGGATCAAAAGAACTTTGGTCGATCAAAATAATTTTGATCGATCAAAAAAATTAACGATTAATCGAGGGATTAATCGTTAATTTCCGCAGCCCTAATTAATACATATCACATTTTGCAGAAAAGTTATGGAGCATAATCGCCCATTCCCCCTCGTAATTATGAATTATTATGATGCAATTTTGACCTGAAGCTGTATCTTGGAAACTGGAGCCAATTACTACTCAGGACTTAATTTTCCTTTATTTGTGACCCAATTCTGGTAAAATTTAGCTACTTTAATTTCCGAGGTTTCCTCCTTGTAGACCAGGGATATCGGAGATCGTGGTTTTAGTGGAAAGATTTCTCTACCACACCAGGATGTCCTGACCTCATGAAGAGTGGCTCCTCAGTAGGGCTTCGTGTTTTGAGATGCGGATGGAGGGACGGCTCTGGTCTTCTCATTGCTCTGACTTTAACCTTTTATCTTGTGTCTATCCCTTTGCTTTCACTCTGTTCTTGTCTTGCTATTCTTCTTACTGGTTCTACGTCTACATTTCCTTTATTGGAAGAGAATTCTCTGAAAATCATCTGCAGTCACTCTAAGTCGTGTTTGATATTTCCTTTATATATATGAACATATACGGTATGCATCGGCTGCATTGACTCTATAACTTCCCACATCGGGCCTCACAGGTCTACGGAGAGGAGCCGAGACTGCCATAGGATGTTCATTTCTCAATACTCAGGACTGTATGGTCTGTTCCGGGTGCTTGTACCACCTGTATGTTGTTCTTTGTACTATGGGCACTCATGGCTGTTGTGTTATTTACATGTTTCTGTATTCCTGCTATTTGTCTTTTGTAACCTCAAATGAAAAATGTATTTAAAAAAAGGAGAATGTGAACGGTGGAAGCTGCACCAAAACATGACGAAGAGGACTGAGGACAGAGGACTAGTATTTATAATTATGGCAAAACAAAAGAATGCAATTCAAACGGAAAATTGATGCACAAAATGATAAAGTGCACACTTTAATGGTATAAATATATGACATTATGACAATGTTATAAAATGATTACCATCGAGGTAAGGAGAATCCTTCTTCCTGATGACCACCCTTTTTCTTTTATACCCTACAGTTGTTCTATGGACTATCTTACAATTTTTCTATGCACTAAACAGTTCCACCTGTGAAAAACCATCGTACATTTGTCAAAAGAACCAGCTGGCGATGTCTATTTAGACTTCTTTTCCCGCAGTCAGTGAGGACGCTCTGCAGTATGTTTCTTGGTGAAAGATTTGCTGTAGTCTGAACATGAATAAGGACGCTCACCTGTGTGAATTTTATGGTGTTTTACAAGGTCTCCTTTCCGAGTAAATGATTTCCCGCATTCTGAACATGAATAAGGACGCACACCAGTGTGAATTCTCTGGTGTCTAACAAGGGTTGCTTTCCGAGTGAAAGATTTCCCACACTCTGAACATGAATAAGGACGCTCATCAGTGTGAATTCTCTGGTGTTTAACAAGGGTTGCTTTCCGAGTGAAAGATTTCCCGCACTCTGAACAGGAATAAGGTTGTTCACCCGTGTGAATTCTCTGGTGTATAACAAGGTATATTTTATTGATGAATGATTTCCCGCACTCTGAACAGGAATAAGGTTGTTCACCCGTGTGAATTCTCTGGTGTATAACAAGGTATATTTTATTGATGAATGATTTCCCGCACTCTGAACAGGAATAAGGACGCTCACCCGTGTGAATTTTCTGGTGTTTAACAAGGTCTCCTTTATGAATGAAAGATTTCTTGCACTCTGAACATGAATAAGGACGCTCACCTGTGTGAATTCTCTGGTGTATAACAAGGTGTCCTTGCTGAACGAAAGATTTCCCGCACTCTGAACATGAATAAGGACGCTCATCAGTGTGAGTTCTCAGGTGTTTAACAAGTACTACTTTATAAGTGAAAGATTTCCTGCACACTGAACATGAATAAGGACGCTCACCTGTGTGAATTCTCTGATGTTTAATAAGGGCTCCTTTCTGAGTGAAAGATTTCCCACACTCTGAACATGAATAAGGACGCTCACTAGTGTGAAATCTCTGGTGTACAACAAGGTTTACTTTATGAATGAATGATTTCCCGCACTCTGAACATGAATAAGGACGCTCACCTGTGTGAATTCTCTGATGTTGAATAAGGGCTCCTTGCTGAATGAAAGATTTCCCGCACTCTGAACATGCATAAGGACGCTCACCAGTGTGAATTCTCTGATGTTGAATAAGGGCTCCTTTCTGAGTGAAAGATTTCCCGCACTCTGAACATGAATGAGGTCGCTCATCTCTGTGACTCTTCTGGTGTAAAAGAAAATCTCCTTTGCGAATGAAACATTTTCCACACTGTCTCATTTGTTGGGGACATGACGTTATATTGAGGAATGGAGATGGACCTTCATATGGTGTACAATATCTCCTCCTCATTTGTTGGTCACATGATGTTATATTGGGGAATAGAGATGGACCTTCATATGGTGTACAGTATCTCCTCCTCATTTGTTGGGGACATGACGTTATATTGAGGAATGGAGATGGACCTTCATAGGGTGTACAGTATCTCCTCCTCATTTGTTGGGGACATGACGTTATATTGAGGAATGGAGATGGACCTTCATATGGTGTACAATATCTCCTCCTCATTTGTTGGTCACATGATGTTATATTGAGGAATAGATTTTCGTATTCACTATAAAATCATGTTTTCTCATTGGGTGACACAGCATTTAAATTCTGGATACATGTCCTGCCTCTGAAAAATTGCACCTTGCCTGTGTAGGCAATAATCCTAGCACTGGCCCTGATGACAATGGACCCAACATCTGTATGTAGAACATTTGATGAGAGTTTATTTGCTGTAAATGACCCCCAACCTTCCTAACACTAATCAGGAGATGACGACCCCTTCATCCTACAATAGGGGAGAAGACTTCTTCTGGGGAATCTTCTTCCCAACTTTGATGGTCCACCATTTATAATTCAGTCTCATCTTATCTGATGATGTGAAGATTTGATAATTCTCCAACATGATCCCTTAAATGTCGCACCTTCTACTGAGAAGTGACATAGAACTGTGACCTGTTCCCTCCATAGTGTCTGTTACTTACTTGTGTTGATCGGTAGAGAAATGTCATCCTGATCACTTTTCATCATCATCCCGACCTCCTCCGTGGACGGCCGGTCACCCCCCACATACGTCTCCACTTCTTCCTCTTTAACCTCAGCTTTTATATTGTTCCTATCTTCACCCTAAACCCCAAAATAATAGAAAACATCTCATAAAGCTGAACTCCGGGGAGATATAAAAGACACAAAGGAATGCAGCTCTGCATTCGTTTGTTTTTTTAATTTAAACATTGTTAGTACCTGAATGTGACCTGGTATCAGGTTCCTGCAGTCCCTGTACAGCAAAGCTTAGACTGGGAGAGAGAGAAAAAGTCTGCTGCTTCTCATTTTACTGTCCAGTCAAAGACTGGGGACGGGACAAGACTTGTACGTGTAACTGACCTACAGCAGAGAAATATCAAGTCTCCTGCTCTGCCCATTTGAGGGCAGGTCTCCTTCCTATTTCCTCTGAGCCCGGGAGCCAAGGATCCTCACCTTGAGGGCGCATCATCACGCCAGCATGGACTCACAGAAGCAAAGAACAGCACCACTTATTTCAGCATGTGCCCTTTGGAGAGCACAATGGCAGAGCCTATCTATGATGTCTCATGACTGGACCCAAGACCCATTGTAGAAAATTGAGTTTATACATTTTTTTTTTCCATATAAATTTTTATTGGAGGTAAGAAAACAATAAAGTAACATTACACCGTAATATATAGTCATAGTACTTCAAGATATAATAAAAGATATTCTGCATGGATCTGGAGCTGGATCTGTAATTCAAGTGAATTAGCCTCAGGGGACTAACAGGTAGGGGGGGGGGCAAGTGTAGACAGGCGTGGATTCCAGTAAGTTAGGGCGTATGTCAGGTGGGTACATTATGGCTTACAGCCATGAAATATAGCTTAGTCATCTTGATGGTAAATACATACATGGAATCAGCAAAGAGGTTACAGCACATGGGGACAAGACAGAGAGGGCAGATTCCAGGGACCGACATACAGTATGGTGGAAGTACAAATGGTGGCTTGTAGGGGAAATGACTCATGTGGGCAGTGAGAGGTGGGGAAGAAGAGGAGTGAAGAGAAAGGGGTGGGTAGTGTCAGGTAGCGAGTGGGAAGAGGTGAAGTGCTATAGAGCAGTTGCCAGGAATTCCTATCATAGGGTTAGAAGGTGATGATTGATTTCAGCGGGTAGGAAATTTTCTATCCAGGGGGACCATATTCTCTCAAATTTGTGCATGGTATTTTCCGTTTGAGCTGTCTGCTTCTCGTGCGACATTGTTCAATGTACATGCCTTTTGGTATGGAAATACCAAAAGGCATGTACATTGGCTGGAAATACTGAGCGAGCTGGATAGCCAGGACTTGGCTATCTCTCTTTTGGCCGCCGTCAAAACATGGAGGCTTAGTTTGAAGGTCGCTGTAGGTAGGCCTACCGGTTTACAATTTAGAAGGGCAAAGGTGGGATCCTTAGTCAATGGCCTCTGAAATAATAACGAAAGTATAGTAAATACCCAGTCCCAAAACTTAGCAACTTTTGGGCACTGCCACCATATGTGGAAGAAGGTGCCCTGATCCAGGCATCCTCGGAAGCAAAGTGGAGAGGTTTGGGGTCGGAATTTGGCTACTCTCGCAGGAACCATATACCAGCGTAGTAGTACTTTATAGTTGATCTCCATGTTTATACATTTTTTAAAATAATAAAAGTGGAGGGTGGAGCAAGGGAAAGCTGAAATGGAGAGGGTGGAATGGGTGGAAGGCTACATTTCAGATATAAACTTTAAACCAACAGACTACATAGAAGAATGTTGTCTCACAAAGTTCACTATCACTTCTGTGTTCTATACACCGAGTCCCACCTACCTGATCATGGTGGGGGATGGTGAGATCTTCCTGTGTGGAATCCCGGGAATACAGAGGACATCTCTGTGGTGGGTTTGTTTCATATAATGGCTCCATCATGACTTCATTGAAGGGGTCTTTGTGTTCTTCTGAAAACTCCTCCATCACACCAACCTCCTCCTCCTCTTTTATCTCTTCTTTAACATCATTATCACAATCACTCTGGTTTATACCCTGAATATTGAGAACAATGAGATCAGATGTAACTACATAGATGATGAAGAGGTCAAAAAGTATCCCCTATTATGAATACAGAGGACGGGGACATCTCTCTGGTGGGTTCCTCTTACTGGATCCATCTGTAGGAAACACACACACTGACTGAATACATTGTTTCTATGTGTGTATCAGATGATGGGGGATCTAGGTGGACCCTCCGTACTGCTCTCTCCTCTTACCCGGTGATGTGAGGGGCGGTTCATTCTCCATCACGACGTCCTTGTAGAGATCCTTGTGTTTCTCCATGAAGAAATACACAGTGACACCTTATAGGAACCTGACACACGCAATGATACAGTCACTATTCGGTAATCCTGTCTGAAGTGAGAAGATAACAAGGATTACGTGTTCAAGAGTCACGTGTTTGAAAAAAGACTTTCATTAGACAAATCCCGAATTGCTCAGAATATGAGACCTTGTGGGACAGTTCTGCAATTTTGGACACTATCCCACAGTATTCATGCCCCACAAGACCCAGGACATTGTGAAGAATGGAAGTGGCTGCAAGAGCGCTCTCTGCATTCTGCACTTATGTAGGCTCTGTCAGGTGAAATGATTTGCCCAACAGTGACGGCATAGTTCCATTCATTCAGATGACCACTGCACACCAAAGCTGAGGTTTAATATTTCTGTCATAGACAACAATGGGGCTTATTATTGCACCCGCTGACCAACAATGGAAGGAGCTCTATTTCCTGTCCGTCACACTATATGTTGTATGTTATATACTCCTGACCCCACCATTAAATGCAATGCTGTACATCGGGGGCGCCCACTATTTTTCGTGTGGAGATCTACTTTTCAAATGACGAGCTCATTGAGATCTACCAACGAAAAAACACCTGCGTTCAGGGGCGGGAGGTGCATTGAAGTCAATGGCACCGCAGCCAGGCTCCGCAGGCAGGCCCCTCGCCCACAGTGCGATCGCCTGCATTAGTGCCTGTGTTCCAGTCCAGTGCGATCCGCAAAAATGCTGCAAGCACTATTTTTGCAGATCGCACTGGACCGGAATGCAGGCACTAACGTGCCTGCGTTCCGAATGCGGGCGTTCGCAATGTTGGCGATGCCAATTACTTCAATACAGGTCCACACGTCGGAGTGATCAGCCGATCGCTCCAGTGTTTGTCCTACACAGAGGATTGGTACATACTACTGACATGTACCGATCCTCTGCCGCTCATCCACGCACAAGGGGGCTCAGCTTCTCCTCTGGATCCCCCCTCTTCTCCCGGGTAGAGGCAGTGGGGGGTCCGACGAGAAGTGAAAGAGCACTTCAGGCGCGGGGTGGGGGGGTTGGGCGCGGAGCCGCTGTGACAGAACGGACAAGCAGTAAGGAGAGAGAGAGGCGCCGGCTGTCAGATCCTGGCCGAGCGTCTCTCTCCTCACTGCTCTGCATTAGTTCTGTGACAGCGGCTCCGTCCTCCGCCCTCCCCCGCCGCCGGTTCCTTCACTTCTTCTCGGATCCCCGCTGGGGAGAGCAGCGGAGATCTAGAGAAGCGGCGGGAGGAGAGGACATTGCGATCGATCGACCTTGTGGGCACCCCTGCTGTACATAGTCCGGACCACTGCACTCTATATGCTATCATGTTCATTGTCCGATTGAAATTAGTCCTTAATTATATTAAGTTTTTCTTTTAGCTAGGGTGATATTTTCTATGTAAAAATACAAATGCAGAAAATGTGAGGCAATGGTCCCTTAAAGAGGGATGTTAAAACAGGTTTTGGAATGGAAAGGGTTAACCCACCAGCTCGGAGTGGTTTAAAGAGCACAGGAAGCCAGTCTGCAGTGGTCTGTGAGGTGTGTTAGAAGCTGGACACATGGCTGTGCTGTGCTATGGTCTGCTGATTGCTGAGACACTGCTGCTGGGCGCCGGGGCCTGTGTTGCAATCTTCTGGAGCTGACTGGGACTCTAACCCTGGTGTTGGAAAAGCCTACCGAGGCGGTGAGCCACTGATTCATGTGTACTGAAGAGGAGTGCTATTTGTTTTATCATTTTGCTGAAGACGAGCTGTTTTATTAATCAATAATTCTGATCACAGAGCAGAGAGGAGAACGAAATGTTCCGGTCTGCTTCTCGCTCTCCATCCTAAACTGTTTTGCCGTGGTCCCGGGTCCCCGAGAAGAGCGGGGGAGCATGAAAACCACGGCTGGGAGGGGGCGGACCATATGGGGATGCACCTTGGAGGGGTGGGGTGAACTTTGGAGGGAAGGGGCCAGCAGGGGCGACAGATGAGCATTCTGCTTGTACAAGTGATCCACCAGGATGACTTCTACAATCAGCCCGAACCTATTTAAAAACTTGGGGCATTTTCACTAGTACAAGTACTCCTGTAAATGTCCTGTACCGGCCCCGATACTGATACTAGTATTGCTATTGGGTTATCTCTACTACAAACCATCGACTGTGAGTGTACAGATGGATAATTGGTTCTATAGGATGTATCCGGTCTATAAAGACGGCTCTATATTTACGTCCCTCTGTGCTATAAACTATAACAGATCTCTCAGTGAATCTGGGGGAAGACGATGGATATACAGGAGTTGGATTACCGGGTGTAAATATAAAATAATATCTTCTTACCTCCTCTGCAGCCAGTTCCAGCAACGTCTCCTCTCTACTTCCTCCCAACTCACCTCTCACCCGGAACTTCCTCTTTTTCATCACTTATCGTCTGTACATTACATCACTTCCTGTGTGTTGGTTCCAAGTGAGATTACCACCGTAATACTTCAGTCTCCATTATGTCAGAGCTATATACATGTATAATAATAGTGTGTGACTGTAGGGGGACATTAGAGTGTAAGCTCCTCTGTACAGAGACTGATGTGACTGGCTCAGTGTTCTGTGTGCAGCACTGCGGTATATGTCAGTGATATATAAATGGATCATAAGAGGGGGTGTCTGTGGTCAGGTCTGAGGTAAATCTCTATGTAGACCAGAATCTGCCCGGTGACTCTGATCCCGCCCAGTGATTGGTTCCTGTGGAGGGAGTGCAGCCAATCGCAGTGGAGAAGATGTGAAACTGGGACTCTGATTGCATGTGAGGCTCCCCTCAGCTCCTTCTGTCAGTTACTAAATTCTGCATGTTGTTGTACATTAGTGACAGAAGTGATGGTGAAATGGGGGGTTCTGTTTGTGACGATAATGAGGTCTACTAATAGTAAGTCTCGCTTTCTCTTGTCCCCCAGTTCAGAGCAAATGCAGGCCGTCATTTCGTTCATTTTCTCTCCACATTCCAAAAAACAACCCCCCCCAGCTCTGCTAATCCGGCCTGTGATCTTTATTGTACTGTATAGTGATCGGTCATATTCCTCTATGAGAGGACAGAGATATCATAGACTGTACTGTATAGTGATCGGTCCTATTCCTCTATGAGAGGACAGAGCTATCATAGACTGTACTGTATAGTGATCGGTCCTATTCCTATCTGAGAGGACAGCGGCATCATAGGCTTTAAGTTTTTTGAAGTGTCTCAGCACCCACGTGTGATTTAATTAACACTTTACTGTATACAGATATCTGACATTTTGATAATATTATAGAGTGATTTCTTATATACACCGGACTCATTTATTTCATATCGGTCACGCCCCTTCCTAGTAAATGTGCACATTAGACATGACTGTAATTCATACTTGTATGGTGACTCTATTCCATGGATCATCTATCTTCATCAACAGAGAAACTTCCTCTTCTCCCTGGAGATTCTGCCACATTTCCTGTAAGTGATCAGTACATAGAGTAGAGCCTAGATCTGAGAGATCAGCCCTGACCAGCCGCTCACAGCACAGATTTATACCACAGATTGTTACTTTCACTTTTGGAGAATCCTATCACCGGGAATAAATTATCTCATCAGATCCAGTCCATTCCGGAGCTTTATACTGCAATGATCAAAAGTCTCCAAAACACACATTATTACCTCAGTAATACCCACACCCTGGTAGAGACATTCTTATAACCTCAGTGTCCCCATCCCCAACACACATTATTCTCTTAGCACTGTCCTCATCACTAAACACTCTTTACGCCCCTGTATTCTACCTCTTTCCACAATGTCTGTACTACATTCTCTGACACCTCTCCCCCACCACCCACACTGCATTCTCTGACAGCTCTCCTCCACCATCTACACTACATTCTGACAGCCCCCCCCCCATCCGCACTACATTCTCTGACAGCTCTCCCCCACCATCCACACTACATTCTCTGACAGCTCTCCTCCACCATCCACACTACATTCTCTGACAGCTCTCCTCCACCATCCACACTACATTCTCTGACAGCTCTCCTCCACCATCCACACTACATTCTCTGACAGCTCTCCTCCACCATCCACACTACATTCTCTGACAGCTCTCCTCCACCATCCACACTACATTCTCTGACAGCTCTCCTCCACCATCCACACTACATTCTCTGACAGCTCTCCTCCACCATCCACACTACATTCTCTGACAGCTCTCCTCCACCATCCACACTACATTCTCTGACAGCTCTCCTCCACCATCCACACTACATTCTCTGACAGCTCTACTCCCACCATCCACACTACATTCTGATCCATTGGCTAAAGCCATTCAATAAAAATATTTGAATTGGAGGTGGGGGTCATAATACAAGATTTGTCATATCTCGAAGTTGCAGCCTACGGGAATGTATTTAACCCCACAAATTATGGAATGCCTTCACATCTCTTTTGCATCTAGCTGGGCATCCAAATCCTTGCCTTATCTGGGTGTCTCTGTAACTCTCTCTTACCACTATCTTTATCTGGCAAAATATATGTCGCTTTTTCAGCACCTTTATTTGCTCCTCTCTTCTTGGGAAGAATTTGGGAAACTTGTCTTAGCAGGACAGCAGGGGTAAAAATTTGTTGCCAAAATTTTGCCCGAGTCCTTCTGGTCTGCATTCTGTCAAGCATTCAAGGTGACCTTAGCCTCCCACTCTTTCACAATTACTATCATGCAGCGCAGCTTGCCCAAATATCTCTTTGACACCCTGCTCGGTGGATGCCCCTCTGGGAACCTGTTCAGGCATATTTGTGTTCCCCAATTTAGATCAATAGCCTTCTATGGGTGTCACCGAAACATCACGCCTCTGTCACCTGTCAAGTTACTAGACTCTTCGGCCTCTCCAATCTAAGCATTGAAAGTGTGATCTCTATAACTTACAGTTGTGGCGAGATAGCGACAACCAACAATCTTAGCTGCATTGGCAGACAGTGACTCCATCCAGAAGACACCTTGAAGATCTCTGAGAAGTATAAACCAAAACTGTGAGGATCTTACAACAGTGAACATCGGAGAGGTCAGAAGATCATAATGTGATCCACTCAACGAAATGACACGGGGCTGAGATGCAAACTGGACCAGAATGAGGAAGGGAGGAGCTATCTATACAGAGGAACACTGAGCTATGGGGAGCGGAGGAGAGGAACACCGGGGACAGATGAAACACATACAATATGTAAAGACCCATCACAATGCATGCGACATATGACAATGACATTATGACAATGTTATAAAATGATTACCATCGAGGTAAGGAGAATCCTTCTTCCTGATGACCACCCTTTTTCTTTTATACCCTACAGTTGTTCTATGGACTATCTTACAATTGTTCTATGCACTCAACAGTTCCACCTGTGAAAAGCCATCGTACATTTGTCATAAGAACCAGCTGGCGATGTCTATTTAGACTTCTTTTCCCGCAGTCGGTGAGGACTCTCCGCAGTATGTTTCTCGGTGGAAGAATCGCTCTAGTCTGAATAGGAATAAGGACGCTCACCCGTGTGAATTCTCTGGTGTATAACAAGGTGTCCTTTTTGAATGAAAGATTTCCCGCACTCTGAACATGAATAAGGTCGCTCACCTGTGTGAATTCTCTGGTGTTCAACAAGGGCTCCTTTATGAATGAATGATTTCCCGCACTCTGAACATGAATAAGGTCGCTCACCTGTGTGAATTCTCTTGTGTATAACAAGGCCTCGTTTATCAATGAATGATTTCCCGCACTCTGAACATGAATAAGGACGCTCACCCGTGTGAATTTTCTGATGTATAACAAGGTGTCCTTTATCAGTGAAAGATTTCCCGCACTCTGAACATGAATAAGGACGCTCACCTGTATGAGTCCTCCGGTGTTTAACAAGGTTTCCTTTATGAATGAATGATTTCCCACACTCTGAACATGAATAAGAACGTTCACCAGTGTGAATTCTCTGGTGTAGAACAAGGTTTCCTTTCCGAGGGAAAGATTTCCCGCACTCTGAACATGAATAAGGACGCTCACCTGTATGAGTCCTCCGGTGTTTAACAAGGTTTCCTTTATGAATGAATGATTTCCCACACTCTGAACATGAATAAGAACGTTCACCAGTGTGAATTCTCTGGTGTAGAACAAGGTTTCCTTTCCGAGGGAAAGATTTCCCGCACTCTGAACATGAATAGGACCCCACAGCTGTGTGAATTATCTGGTGTCGAACAAGTGCTCCTTTACGAGTGAAAGATTTCCCGCACTCTGAACATGAATAAGGACGCTCACCTGTGTGAGTTTTCTGGTGTTTAACAAGGTCTCCTTTACGAGTGAATGATTTCCCGCACTCTGAACATGAATGAGGTCGCTCACCCGTGTGAATTTTCTGATGTATAACAAAGTATCCTTTATCAGTGAAAGATTTCCCGCACTCTGAACATGAATAGGACCCCACAACTGTGTGAATTCTCTGGTGTCGAACAAGTACTCCTTTACGAGTGAAAGATTTTCTGCACTCTGAACATGAATAAAGACGCTCACCTGTGTGAATCTTCTGGTGTTTAACAAAGTCTCTTTTGTCAAAGAAACATTTTCCACACTCTGAACATGAATAGCTTCGCTCATCCATGTTCATACTCTGGTGTCTAAGAAGGTTTTTGTTTTCAATTAAAGATTTCCCACACACTGCATGTGAGGAAAGATTTTCACCTCTGTGATCTCCTTCATGGGGTGAGGAAGATTCCTTGGGATTAGATGGATCTCTTGCGGTGTGAGATCTTAGATGGATATTTCCAGTCATAGTATGTGAATGATCAGAAGATTCACCCTGATCAGAGGGATCCATTGATGTCTCCAAACAGGAAGGTCTGTGATATATATTTTGTGTGTTTGGATTCACTCCTGGAGAATCCTGTGTGATGACATTATCTTCTGACTTACAACCAGCAGATAATATAAGATGTCTCTCTGAGGTATTGCTGACATCACATCCATCTGCTGGAGAGAAATTATTACACACGTCAGTAATCAGAGTCATGTATGTTGGTTCTAGAAGTCATCACAGAGCTTTGGCATGGAATTGGGTACAATGTAACACGACATGTAAAAACAAATGAGTTAAAGGATAAAACACCCAAAACAACTCTGACACACTGGGACAAATAGTTTTGTAAATTGATCACGGCTATGGAGGGGAATGAAGATGGACCTTCATATGGTGTACAGTATCTCCTCCTTATTTGTTGGGGACATGACGTTATATTGGGGAATGGAGATGGACCTTCATATGGTGTACAGTATCTCCTCCTCATTTGTTGGTCACATGACGTTATATTGAGGAATAGATTTTCGTATTCACTATAAAATCATGTTCTCTCATTGGGTGACACAGCATTTAAATTCTGGATACATGTCCTGCCTCTGGAAAATTGGAAATTGGGGAAAATAAAAGGTACAACTGCACATAGTGGCTATTCCTGTGTACAAACTGTGCAAGCCCAGGAGTAGCAAGCAGTGAACGTATGACTGGAAAAAAAATAACCTTCTTAAACTATCATCTTAACTCCGGGCAACAAAGTACAAAAAATGATGGTCAGGATATGTGAACCCTCAGGAACTACTGGAGAAAAAGATTAAACAACAAGGAGTCAAAAAGTCAATTTTTCTCCCATTGTTAGTT